TGGTGATTATTTGAATCAGGTGAGTCGTCCACGTTTTTGAATCTGTTTCTCTTCTTTTTCCATTTTCCTTCACCAAGAGTTTTGCTATTTCTTGTCACCATCTTTCTTTTTCTCTGGTTGACACTTCAACACCACGTAATTCATAAATTCTCATTTTATTTTAATGAATATTGGCAAACATTTTCGTTTTGTTTTTCTCTGTATAATGTGTCATTATTAAAATTTAGTATTTTTCTTGACATGCGTGAAGTTTTTCAGGAAACCTTTTTTTATGCAAAATTCGACGACGAAATTTTAAAAATGGCAGCGGAGAAATTATTTTCCATTGGAATGTAGGCCGTTGCATTAAAAACATATGTAGCATCTATAAAGATCTGATCCTAATCTTGTAACCGACCAGAATGGCTTTGAATGTTTTCTTTCTGTTGGTTTAATGGATTTCATATTCCTCTATCACACACACACACACACATATATATATATATATATATTATATTATGCCTCTTGATTCCTTGGGGAACATTGGGCCGCAACAACACCCTTCCAATGGACGCGGTTCTGGGCGATCCTCTTCAGCTCGGTCCATGTCGTGCTGGGTGCCTTCACCTCTGCGTCAACACTTCTGCGCCAAGTCTGTTTAGATCGGCCCACTTTTCGCTTCCCTTGTGGATTCGGCCCACTTTTCACTTCCCTTCCCGTCAACAAGGGCCTGCTTGGTGACAATAGAAATCACTTACATACATACATACATACATACATACATATATATATATATATATATATATATATATATATGGGATCATATTAAACATAAGATACAACAATATCCACGTTTAAGACATAAAATGTAAGGTACCTTTCGACCGACTCATTTTCAAACACAATCGTCGGTAATCTAAAACAGAGTACTAACAAGAAAAAAAAATTATTAATACCGTAATAAAACAAGATGGTAAGGGGGGAACATTATTTTACCTCAAATCATGTAACTGTTCCCCAAAGGTACCGGTTTTTATATTTTATGTTTTAAACGTGGATATTGTTGTATCTTATGTTTAATATGATCCCATATTTTTATTCCTCAAATGTCTGATTAGATTTGGCAGTACTAGAAATTAGAAATATATATATATATATATATATATATATATATATATATATATATATAATCGACTCTCCCTGAGGGTCAGGCCGATAAGTCCCCAGGAAACCGACATCCCGACACCGGCACATGAGATTTGATTATAGTGGCGAAGGCCTCGTGCAGGACCAGCCATTTTTTTTGAGGGACGAATACAGAAACCTGGTGCACCGAATGCATGTCACAAGGTTCCCAAACGACCCTCCGCAGGTTTTGAATTTAGAGTTGTCCTTCTCCTAGACCAGTTGCCATCCAAGGCTATAGAACCCAGTCTGTCCTGCTATTTTACCCATAGCTGGAGGGAGATGAAGAGGATACATACCTTTCCCAAGGGTATTAGCACGTAGGTGAATGTAATGGATTCGACTGGAATTCGAACTCTGCTCTGCGATTCCTCAATCCAAGCCGCTATCCACTGCTCCACCGTGCCTCCCTCTCTCTCTCTCTCTCTCTCTCTCTCTCTCTATATATATATATATATATATATATATATATATATATATATATATATATATATATATATATATATATATATATATATATATATATATATATAAAGATATATATCAGTTAAATATATATATATATATATATATATATATATATATATATATATATATATATATATATATATATATATATCTTTCACATCTTTCACATACAAATATATGATAGATATGTTCCATTTCTTTTGGTTTAACTGAGATATTCCTCCGCCTGTCGTATATAGTTATAAATTTCATATCTGTTGATTTAACCGATTCCACGTCTCTCCATTTCTCATATAGAGATATATATGTTATAGATCTTTCATTTCTGTTGGTTTAACCAATTCCACATTCCCCCAACGCTCACATACATCTGATAGATATGATTCACTTCTATTGGTTTAAAAGATTCCACATTCCATCATCTCTTACATACAGGTATATATTCATATATTTTTATGTATTCTAAAATTATAAGTTGCGGATTTATTCTTTTGTACCTCGTCAAGCCTCTTTGAGATGACTGAATAAATATTAGAAATTGATCACATAAACAAATTTTGAAATCGAAAATTCTCAAAATTCTACTAAGGAAATACAATGTTTTGGCGTTTAAGACTTTAAACATTCTCATATTTTTTTTTTAAAATAAATCAACGTTTTGGTGAAAAATAGCCTGGGTTTCAACCCACGATTTTTACACCCGAAATCTTGATTTCTTAAAAACTACAGCACCTCACCTTTAAATTTAACAAGTTTGAGGTTGCGGTTTTCACCATAAAGCAAGCATCACATGATTTAGAATGAAATTGTGAGGCGGGGTAAATATTTAAACAATAAAATCCCTGACATCGTTCGGACTGTTGTTCTTATCTTTATAGACATATTTACGATGTTTCAGCCGTGTACGCTTCGACCCTTTTCAGTTGATATACACTGGAATTTCGAATCGAACCCATTATTTAGTCCACGGGGGTAGATTGTTCTAATTCCACGTGCCATGCCTTTTCTGGATATTTCAGTTTCAGTTAATTCCAATAAATCTTATATTTTTTGTTCACTTCTACTGTAGCTTAGTATTGAACTCACAACACTTTGGGTCAGTTTTTGGATTATTTCAACCAACGCTTTTATTCACTGGGACTTTTTTTTATCGGAGCTCATATTACGATTTTTGTTATTGTTTTTTTTCTCTAGCTCTCTGTATTACAGATTCCCATATTATATTTATGCCTATGCTTGGCTGACATAGGACATTTTTGTGGCCTAACATATGCGCTGATTGGTGAACAAAATAAGTGGTGCGGGTCGAAATTACAACTTATATAACCTGAAGAAGGCTGGAGCATACAGCGGCCGAAACGTGAATATGGCAATAAAGATGATGACAACAGTCCTAACGATGTAGATAATGTAATTAGTTACAAGACAATCTCAGAAATAGAGACAAATATTAAAAATCAATGGTTTAAAATAGAAATGTGAGAGAGAGATTAATTATTTGATATCAAAATTCTGGATTCAATTTAAAAAAATGTGAATGAATAATGTTTTAATTTTTTAAATATTTATTGAATTGGCGCAGTAGGGCAATACCCATCGAATTAGAACCTCCTTTTTGGAAAACCCCCTTCAAATGAGGACCTCCTTTTTGGTCAATGCCCTTCATAGGAGCTCCTTTTGGGATAACAACTTTCGGATTAGGAACTCCTTTTGGAGAAACACCCTTCGAATTAGAAGCTCTTTTTGGCTCCTTTCTGTGCAATACCCTACGGATTAGGAGCTCCTTTTTGTGCCATAATATTCTAATTTGGAGATCCTTTTTGGGCAACACACTTCAGATTAGGAAATACTTTTTGTGCAATGCCCTTCTAATTGGAGGCTACTTTTGGGGCAACACCCTTTGGATTAGGAGCTCTTTTTTGGACCCTACCCTTCTAATTAGGAGCACCTTTTTGGACAACACCCTTCGAATTAGGAGCTCCTTTTTGGGCAATACCCTCCGTATTAAGAGCTCCTTTTGGGGCAACACACTTCGGATTGGGAGCTCCCTTTTGTGCCATAACCTTCTAATTAGAAGACCCATTTGGGACAACACCCTTCGAATTAGGAGATTCTTTTTGTGCCATACACTTTTAATTAGGAGCTCTTTTTTGGGCAACACCCATTGTATTGGGAGCTCCTTTTTTATGCCATACCCTTCTAATTCGGAGCTCCTTTATGAGGCAACCCCCTTCGTATTATGGACTCCTTTTTGTGCCACACCCTTCTAATGAGGAACTCCTTTTTGGGCCACACCATACGAATTAGGAGCTCATTTTGGGCAATAACTTTCATATTTGTTGCTCCTTTTAGGGAAACACCCTTCGTATTAAGAGCTCCCTTTTCTGTCATACTCTTCTAATTAGAAGTCCCTTTTGAGGCTACGCACTTCGAATTAGGAGCTCCCTTTTGGGCAGTAAGTTTCGTATTTGGTGCTCTTTCTGGGGAAACACCCTTCGGATTATGACCTCCTTTTTTTGGGCAAGACCCTTCGAATTAGGAGCTACTTTTTGGGCAATACTTTTCGTATTAGGAGTTTCCTTTGGGGTAACGCACTTTGGATTAGGAGCTCCCTTTTGTGCCACACACTTCTAATTAGAAGACCATTTTGGAGCAACATCCTTCGAATTAGGGGATTCTTTTGGTGCTATATCCTTCTAATTAGGAGCTCCTTTCGAGAAACACCCATTGAATTAGGAGATCTTTTTAGCTCCTTTTTTCTGCAATACCCCTCAGATTAGGAGCTCCGTTTTGTGCCATACCATTTTAATTAGGAGCTCCTTTTTGAGACAACTTCCTTCAGATTAGGAGCTCACTTTTTTGCCCTACCCTTCTAATTGGGAGCTCCTTTCTGAGCCATACCCTTCGTATTATGAGCTCCTTTTGTGGCAACACCCCCTTCAGTTCAGGATTTTCCTTTTTTGCCATACCCTTCTAATTAGTAGATGATTTAGGGGCAACACTATTAGAATTAGGAGCTCCTTTTTGTGCCCTACCCTTCTAATTAGGAGCTCCTTTTTGTGCCCTACCCTTCTAATTAGGAGATCCTTTTGAAGCAACACCATTTGAAATAGGAGTTTCTTTTGGGTCAACGCCCTTCGGATTAAGAGCTCCTTTTTGTGCCATACTCTTCTAATTAGGATCTCCTTTTGAGGCACCCCCTCCTGATTAGGCGTTCCTGTGCCATACCCTTCTAATTAGGAACTCCTTTTGGAGCAACACCCTTCGAATTAGGAGCTCATTTGGGGCAATACCCTTCGTATTTGGAGCACATTTTGAGGCAACACCCTTCGAATTAGAGGCCCCTTTTGTGGGACCACCCTTCGGATATGGACCTCCTTTTGGAGCAACACCCTTCGGAATTAGGAGATCCTTTTTGGGCAATACCCTTCGTATTTGGTGCTCCTTTTGAGGATGGACCCTTCAGATTAGGAGCTCGTTTTGTGTCATACCCTTCTAATTAGGGGATACTTTTTGGGCAACATTTTTTGAATTAGAAGGTCTTTTTTGTTAAATGCCCTTCGAATTAGGAGCTCTTTTCATTGCAACATCCTTCGAAATAGGAGCTCCTTTTTCTTGCTAGTGAGTTTCGAACAAAAGATCATGATCTGAAATGGTTATTTTTCTCACTTCAAAGATTGGCGGAATACAATCATCCTTATTCTTTTCTGGCTATCTACCCTACTGAGCTATGCTTACGAAGTATCAACAATATTTTGAATTATCTTTTAGATTAATTTTCACGTGAAATTGGTCAGCAGCTGCATCAGTTACTACTTAAAAATGTATTTGTTTAAGAGGTTGGCCTCTTGACCTTTTTGTTCGAATTGCTATGCGCACTTCACAATGTCAAATATTCTTGAAGCAGCTAAAATGGATTTACTGGATTTTGCTATGAATACTTCATATATGCGCACGAGTAATGCTTCTGCCAGGTGTTTTATCTTGTGTAGAATCGGACTGTGATATTCTACAGTGTCTACATTCCTATGATGTCTTCGATAAGATATTATGACTTGGCATGAAAATGAGAAGTCTGGGATTTGATTAGTCTATAGAACAAGAAATAGCATGACTAAAGCAAAAACACATACATGCATAGAGAGCGTCGTTACAAAAATAAAAACGGCTTTAAAGTAATATAAACTTATATTCATATAAAAACACATTATACAGATACGTTTAGACTAGTGTTTCTCAACGTGGTCCAAGTGGACAACCGGTGGTCCACATAGCATTTCTAGTGGTCCACAGAAAAAAAAGTAACCATTTCACAAAAATATATCTAAATTATTCATACTTTGAAAAATTAAAATTTTGTTTAATTACACACATGTCCATTATATGGAAAATTTTAAAATTACGTAGGTATTCATTAAGGATTTTAGTTTGAAAAATTGAACAGCTTAAAAGTAAAAGTAGGAGTGATCCATTTGAATTTGTTTGAAGTAAAAATGGTCCATGGGCAGAGAAGGTAGAGAAGCACTGGTTGAGACGGATGTAGACACTACTATATATATATATATATATATATATATATATATATATTAGAATCTTTTTAGGCGTAGAAAGACATAGATAGGCGCACATGGGGCGAAAAATTCACGCGAAGACATGAGGGTTGAAAACTCACATACTGGAAAAATTTAGATATACAGACATAAATGCAGGTTGGCACCTCAAGGCGGGTTGGTGTTTGTCTCCTTAGGACAATGACTGAGGTGAGTCGAATGGATCCCTACTTTGTGCACATCTAAGCTACGCTTGAGAATCACTTGTCTCGCGGTGTAATGGTTAGAAAGGAACAATTATGACTGAGTAGAGAGTTCGATCCTCACTGGGTGCCCCCTACTCGGCCTTGTGCCACATATAGGGCTTTGATGGCACCCGAGACGGTGTAATGGTTAGCAAGCTTGTCTCGCTAGGACAATTATGACTGAGTAGTGAGTTCGATCCTCACTGGGTGATCCCTACTTTCGGCCATGTGCCACATCTAAGCTACGCTTGGAGAATCACTGGGCACCTCGAGACGGTGTAATGGTTAGAAAGCCTGTCTCGCTTGAACAATTATGACTGAGTAGAGAGTACGATCCTCACTGGGTGCCCCCTACTTTCGGCCTTGTGCCACATATAGGTAAGCTTGGAAAATCACTGGCACCACGAGACGGTGTAATGGTTAGCAAGCTTGTCTCGCTTGAACAATTATGACTGAGTAGAGAGTACGATCCTCACTGGGTGCCCCCTACTTTCGGCCTTGTGCCACATCTAAGCTACGCTTGGAAAATCACTGGCACCACGAGACGGTGTAATGGTTAGCAAGCCTGTCTCGCTTGAACAATTATGACTGAGTAGTGAGTTCGATCCTCACTGGGTGATCCCTACTTTCGGCCTTGTGCCACTTCTAAACTACGCTTAGAATATCATTTGGGCGCTTCGACGTGGTGTTATGGTTACAAAGCTTGTCTGCCTAGTTCTATTTCGACTGAATAGTGGGTTCGATTCTCACTGGATACCACCATATTTTCGGCCTTGTGCCACAACTAAGTTACGCTTCGGCGTGGTGTAATGGTTAGGAAGCTTGTCTCGCTAAAACAGTTACGGCTGAATAGTGAGTTTGATCCTCACTGGGTGTCCCATATTTTCGGCCTTGTGCCACCTCTAAGCTACCTTTAGAAAATCAACACACATAAATGAAGGCGTTTATAATGTCTGAACATAACTTATAAGAGAAATTACATTTCTCGTTGTGCGAGAATTGTAATTTATTCTACATTCTCAGTATAAAGTGTTTGGTAAGTGAATCGCTAATATGAATGGAGACATTTATTTGGCTTGAAGATTTGGAATGATATTGCCGTTAAGGTTGGCCATTCTTTCGGACTGTCTTCTTTAGTAAAGTGCGGAGGAATTGACTGTTGGTCACGTGAGAAAGGAGCAGCGTACTTTACTTTGTGTCGTTGAAATCCTTACCAAAAAAAAAAAAAAAATGCTTGTTATTATCTTTACTTTACCATTCATAGTTACAGTGGTCACGTGACTGTGTTACCACGTGATCCCTTTGTGATCAAGTTGTAAAAAAGGAGAGGAGATCTCTACTGCTCTCTTTCTCTCTCTCTCTCTCTCTTTTTAAATAATACCTTCCACGTTATCAAGTTATCACATTGTTATACGCTGGAGAAAAAGGCAATCTAGTTGGCAAATTAAGGTATGTGGTATTGCTACAGTCACTGTTCGTTTGCGGGATCGGGGGCATTTTTCTCGACATATGTTCTGTTGACAGTTCACTATATATATATATATATATATATATATATGGTAACTCATAATTTGATACACAGGTTGTCAGTGAAAAAGAATACTCTAGCGCCATTTGTCAAAATGATTGAATTTTCCCGTTAATATCAAGAATGTATGTGCTTATAAACTCAGTAAATTTCAAAATATGTTATTCCAAAAATCGCTTGAAAATGAAACAGTACTAAGGATTTTAATTTAATTCTATAATTAAATTTGAAGTTTTTAGTTTCTGTTTTTGAAACATGGTAATTCCAGTGTAACGATGGGACCATATTGAGCACAGTTTTTTAAAAATAAAAATAATTAATAAGAACACCGGATTAGAAATCTTATTGTTCTTTCATATAATTTATATATATATATATATATATATATATATATATATATATATATATATATATATATATATATATATATATATATATATATATATATATATATATATATATATATATATATATATATATCGAAATAAAAGTATAAAATTTAATATTACAAGACATATTAAAACAGTATTAAATAATAAAAAAAAAACAAAAAAATCCTCAACAACAGTGGTATTAATCATATTTTTTAGCTGTTATATATCGGCTATTAATATAGAAGATTATTTTCTGATAATCCAACAACTCGCACAAACCGGTTCAAATCCATGTAGCATGATTTGCAGTATATATATATATATATATATATATATATATATATATATATATATATATATATATACTAGCAGTACAGCCCGGCGTTGCCCGGGATGTAACAGTAAGAGATAGATCAAGTATCGACCATCTTAAAGACTGAAAAATAAAATTGATAAAGATTATTGTATAAGGTTGACGGACACGCATGTCTTAATTAGTTTTTTTTTACGAATTGGTCAAACCCAAACTCAAACAAAAACATTGAATAGAATTCTATTATAAACAATTTGTCTTGTAAATAGAATTTTAAATCATTCTGAATGTAAAAATAACGAAAAAAAGTGTGCAAGACAATAAGAAACACTACCTGCCAAAAAAAGTGAAGTTTTGTTGAAATCGGTTGAAAAAGTAGGAAATCCGATCCCACACACACACACACACACACACACACACACACACACACACACACACACACAACCTGGGTTTTATAATAAGTATAACTCGATATGATTTGTCCCCCTTTCATTCTCGCGATGCCTCTTAATCGTGTTTTCAAATTGATTTCGTGCAAAAACAATTGTTTTTCCAATTTTTGGCGCTGTCAGAACCACCGCAAGGTAATTTTACGTAGTCCTGTGAAGTTTTGTTGAAATCGGTTGAAAAATGTAGGAAATCCGATCCAATATATAAACGTACAGACTAACACACACACACACACAACCTGGGTTTTACAATAAACCATATATATATATAAATATATATATATATATATATATATATATATATATATATATATATAAACACAAAAAGAAAAAGAAGTCGCCTTCTGACGAATTGACAATGGTGAAATGTTAATGGTAGGAAACAACGATTTACTCGCTCACGCGACTAATACTTATGTATGACAAAGTGGCAAAAGTTTTAGTTTTACGACTTCATCCTTCGAAATTTGTTACGTCGGTGGGACTACACATGCATACGAATGACAGAGAGTGGAAATGTTAAATTATCTTTTTTTAATATATAATCTAGCCGACTAAATTTACATTCTTTTTTTTTCTATTTCTGTCTGGTCAAATATATGTATGTATGTATGTATGTATTCATCTATCGATCTTAGCATGTGTCTATCTCACTATCTGTGCATGTATTTCAGTCTCTTTATGTCGATCTCAGTATCTATCTATCTATCTATCTATCTATCTATCTATCTATCTATCTATCTATCTATCTCAATCTGTATCCATCTATCAGTCTATCCCAGTCTGTATCTATTAATTCTGCTTAGTCATATGTATGTATGTATGCATGTATGTATGTATCTCATTATCTCTGTATCTGTCTGTTTCAGTAACTCTTTCTCTTTCTTTCTCCCTCTCTCTCTCTCTCTTTTTCTCTCTCTCTATCTCTCTCTATCTATCTATCTATCTATCACATTATGGATGTAAATATGTATGTATGAATATCAATTTATCTATCTACCGACAGTATGTAGCAATATATATATCTAATTCAAACTTAGATTCTATCTATAATTTATGTATCTATCTATATATATTTATCTATCTATCTATCTATCTAACATTATGGATATATACGTATGTATGAATATATCTATTTATCTATCTATTTCAGTATGTATATATCAAACTTATCTATTCGTTATATCAAACTATCTATCTATCTATCTATCTATCTATCTATCTATCTATCTATCTATCTATCACATTATGGATGTAAATACGTATGTATGAATATATCTATTTATCTATCTATTTCAGTATGTATATATGTATATATCTATCTCAGCGTCTATCAAATTTAGATTCTATCTATCTATCTATCTATCTATCTATCTATCTATCTATCTATCTATCTATCTATCTATCTATCATGTGTTTGGTGTACCCAGTTCATATGGACAAGGCGTACATGTATGTTTCGATACACTGAAATCACCTTGTTATTTTCTCTTCTTTGTCTTTATGTCTGTCCATATGTACGGGCCTCATCATATCAATATAAAAACCATCTACGGCTGTCGATTTTCGTATTTATACTTAATTAAATTCTCCAGAGTTCTACCTTCTTTGATCGCGTGTTTGGGCGCACATCAAATGACGCCGTATTTTCTCACATATTTCCTTTTAATTGTTTCTTCCTATCAAATCAGATCAGCGTAAAATTCACGCAATAGTTCGGCCAGCTTTGCGTGTGTAGATGCAGCTTCAAGTGAAAACCTGAAAGATTGCAATAAATACATCTACATTATACGCTGAAGTAATCACAGTATTTACTGAAAACTGCAGAGAAGACAGATTTGATTTCTTATTTTATCATTTAATTATTTCCCTCAAATGTAACTTTGACCCCAGCCATGGGTAAAATAGCATGGCAGACTTGACCCTCTAACTGGCTTTCTCCATAAGCTCAAGTGCTAAGGTGTCACTAGACGAATATCTGACTGAATCGAATCGTTCTTAACAAACGGTGTAATGAAGGTTTTGTTGAACAGGCATCCTTCCAGATCATTTCATACTAACGCGGAAGTACGCCAGTGCTCTGTTTTTGGACCTACGGTGTTTTTGATCTTCATCAACGATCTCCCCAATGTTATCAGTTTCTAACTAGGCATTTATGCAGATGACACAACAATTTACTAGGAAGTCCGATAGAGCCAACAAAGTAAACCTTGCAACTGCTCTAGAAAAGAGCCTTAAATCAGTAGTTAACTGGAGCAAGAAGTGGCTTGTAAATATTAACGCCTCCAATACAAAACTGTTTTATTTAATCATCACGGAGAACCTTTTCTTCCTGCCATCAGCATGGCCGATATTAAACCCCAGAAGTGCAACAATCTACACCTTGGGCTCACATTTTCCACTGTCAAAGGGACGACTATATTGAATCGATTGTTGGGTCTACTGCTAGGAAAGTTGGTTCGATCTCTCGTGCCAGAGAATTTTTCTCGTTAGAATTCATCTTGCACGTTTATAAATCTCCAATTCGTCCGTACATTGAATACTGTTGCCATATTTGATCTGGTGTTCCTTCTGTATATCTTGAGATTCTTGACAAAATTCAAAGAAAGTTCTGTAATGTAATTGATCCTGACCAGGTAAGTTTTCTAAAAATATTTTTATGGTGCCTCAACTACATGAATTGAAGCATGATATTAGATTGGCAACTCGATCTCACCGTTTTACTGTGGAATTAACTAGATGCAACCAACACTTATTTTATAACAGTTTTTTTTTCTCGTACTTCTTGCCTGTGGAACTCCCTTCCGATTTTTTACTTCCCTGTCATTTACAATCTTAAAAAAAAAAATGATTTGCAACGTCAACCGCCACCTTCTGTCTTTCTGAGCTGTGTTCCTGTATTGTCCCTTTATTACTTCTCACTAAAATTTTCTTGTTCTCTTTCACTCCCTGTAACCATGCTCAGATTCCTAGTGGCATTATTGCCTTGCATGGGGTGAAACGATTAATTATATATGTATGGCTTGATAGCTGCCGACTTATTAAGCGAGTATGGCTATTTCTAACTGTTGTTGAGTACCTAGCACCCCTTCAGCACTCTACCAGATGGACTGGCTCATAGCCTTAAATAGTCTACGATTAAGGACTTCTACAGTTGATTAATGAGTTTATACTAAGCTGATTAATATTCGGACTGATCTTACTTTGTTTGGCTATACAGCATTTGACCCTCCTCTATTTCTTGTAAGTTGTCTTGTTAATTGTTTTGTAACTTATTGTTCTGTGTTTTTTGTATGTATCCGTTAGCACCGGATACTGGTGCTGAATAAATATATTAAGCACTTATTCTCCTCTGTGTATCATTCACCTCGACGATACAACACTAACACATTAACATATAAGCCAGCTACTGCATTGTCTGTTGCACGAATTTAGCACTAAATCGTATATGTGCATTGCAAATATAATTGTTTAAAATTATATAAAAAAATAGATTGCCATGTATAAATTAAAATAACTACAAAATTAAAACTAAATATAGATTCTGTTACGGAATAAAAAATGAATAAAAGTATTAAAAGATCAGTAAGCTATATACTAGTCACCAATAAATTGTGTGATTTACAATGATGACACTGCGAGGGAATCACACATTTTTTCTGAAAAATACGACACCAAACCACATGTTTGATTACCTATTGGATTGTTATTCTAAGATTTCATATGTCTAGCTAATCACGACTTCTTTACAAATATTTTATTACAAACTGTGCAGGGTAAATTGAGAGAAATTAGTTGTCTAGTCAGTTGGGGGTCTGCATGTATCAGGTGATATAAGGCAAATGGCTTCCTAATGCTTGATTATTCATATAGGAACTCAGAACATGAAGTGTAATAGAAGAGGAGGAGTAAGGCAAGAGTATGGAAATTGTATTGGGGGGGGAGTAAATACATTATACATACATTCATCCGGGTTCGTATAAACTCAAAAAGAACGTTTTAGTGTGTATACATCGCGATATTATTTCAGATCTTTCATTTAGTAGATTTCAATACATTTAATTCATTTCAATATATATATATATATATATATATATATATATATATATGTATACTCGACTCTCCTGTCGAATTCGACGTATGAGAGGTCAAGCAGATCAGTTCCTCGGAATCCACAGCCCGACAACAGCATATGAGATTTGATTATAGTGGTGAAGGTTGTGTGCAGAACCATTCACACTTTCTGAAGAGCCAAATGCAGAGACCTGGTGCACTGCGTCCACAAGGCCCCCAAACGACCCTCGGCAGGTTTTGAATTTAGAGTTGTCCTTCTCCTGGAGCAGTTGCTTTTCAAGGCTATAGGACCCAGTCTGCCCTGCTATTTACCCATAGCTGGGAGGAGAAGAAGAGGATTCATATCTTTCCCAGGGATATTAGCAAGGATTCGAATGTAATTCGAACTTGTCTCTTCGATTCTTCAATCTAAGCCGCTATCCAGTACTCCACTGTGCCTTTTTTTTTTATATTATATATATATATATATATATATATATATATATATATATATATATATATATATATATATATATATATATATATGTGTGTGTGTGTGTGTGTGTGTCTGTGTTGTGTGTCTGTGTCTGTGTGTCTGTGTCTGTGTGTATATTTGTTCATTCGTGTCTATATATTGGAATCTTGATTTAACGTTAGAGCAGATAAGGATTTTGTTTTTGTATCAAAGGGGCTTTTGTAAATATGTTCAGGCGTAGAAATGCATAAGCTTTATCTGCTTTCCCTTTGATTTGCTATAATCTCACATTGGCATCCATTACTTATCAACAAGGAAATAGAAAAGAACAAAAATATATAAACATCTAGAGATATTTATTTATTTTGAGTAGAGATCCACACAGAAATACTCGAATAACATAAGCGTGATACATGCAATCATTAAATTTCACTGATGTGAAACAATTTTTTTAACACATACGCATTTATACAATTGTAGTAATCGTGATTAATTTAATTTCTCAACTTACGTAATTTGATAACAAAAAAATTGTAGAATGTGTGAAGTTAAGCAAAATGGAGTTTAATGACGTAAGGAGATGCGGTCCAGTTGAAGCGAAGAGCCATTATATAGAATATTTATTCTCTGATCTGTTTTTTTCCCCTTTTTACTCTTCATTATGTGTAATCGAGAAGAACAAAATTATGCATCTTACATAAATATATATTTTACGGTAGGAGTTAAAAAAAAAACAATGTGAATTGGTTTCAACAGCAAACAAAAACAGTAGCTGGCGTTCAGATACAAATGATTAATGGTTTATTAGTAATGTTCATATAATATGAACATAGACAAAAAATAAGCAGACGTACAAGCCCAAACACACACACACACACGTTCGGGTCTCCCGAATATTCCCCTTATAAAAGAACAATGTTGTTTATATACTCTTATGTCCTTAGGGAGATTGCATCTCTAACTTAAATAGTAATAAAAAAGAACGATTAAATTCTTACATTGACTACCTATGCACCACATTCCTCGTAGGCTAACTTGTCACTTGTCGAAACTTAGTGAAATACGTGTACATATCGATTATCATATGACAATACATGAAACAAATATTAGTAGATAATACCAAGATACTATACAGCACTCAGTGCAAGGAAAGACACAGGACCTAGAAAACCATTATTATTTCTTTTGTAAAGAAACAATGAACATTAAATAAAATGTGTTTCACTATAGAATGCGGCATCTTAAAGCAGACATAAAAAAAATTACAAGGAAAATATATAATATATATATATATATATATATATATATATATATATATATATATATATATATAAACATGTGACAATTCTTCTCCGGTGCGGCGATCTAGCTAGGACTAAAAGTTTTACACTTGATGTCACGTTGGATTAATATGAATCACGACGTTACTGAGAAAAAATACAAAAATATTAACCAATAAAATGATTTTTGTCTACAAATCTGAAAACACTGACTTTTTGATCATGAAAGAAATACATTACATGAACAGCAACAAAAATGACTCCTCTCTCACGAAATGCTTTTTCCACAATTATCTTCCTGGAGTGTATTCTGAATTTCTTGAATTTAATATATATATATATATATATATATATATATATATATATATATATATATATATGTATTTATTTATTTAAAAGCATCTTTTCATTCATACGTTTCATTAAATAATATAGACAAGTGTTGTCTATTTATTTTATGTAAACACCTGTCTATATTATTTAATGAAACGTGTATGAATGAAAAGATGCTGCCTAAATACACACAATATAAATTACATGATCAGCGGCCCACAATACTATCAATACCTGGAATTACAAATGTAGCCTTGTGAAAAGGCAAATTGAAATAGCAAAGGAAAAATTGAACAACCTTAACAGCAACAAAGAGGACATTTACGACAGACTGTCATCACTGTCTTGTCCGTATATTGCTTAATATGTTGTAATTGACATCTTTGATAATGGCTTATGTAAGCCAAAAGCTTAGATTGTATTAAAAAATATGGATCAATATTGTGAATTTCATTCTTCGTTCAATTATAATGTTATTAAACTTATTAGACGTTTTAAAAGAGTTTACATAAAATAAATAGACAACTTGTTTAATTATATTATTTAATATTATTTATATAAATATATATATATATATATATATATATATATATATATATATGTATGTATGTATATATATATGTGTGAAAAGTGTGTGTTTATATAAATATATATATATATATATATATATATATTTATATATATATAATTATTCATATGTTATATGCGCGGTACTTATTAGAAAGTGCTCAATATCAGAGATAGAGCTAACATATTTAGTTGGATTGATGTGAGTTTGTGACCCTGGGTTTCACGCTTTTGCGATCGTCAGTCAAACCTATATATATATATAATTTTGCGCGCGCGCGCGCACACACACATATATATAATTTTACGCACACACAAAATTAATTGCATGCACGCGCACACAGACACAAAGATACACACACATATATATATGTATTTTTTTTCAAAAACACACACACACACACATATATATATATATATATATATATATATATATATATATATATATATAATATGTGTGTGAGTTTGTGTAATAACAAACATATATATATAGATGTATGTGTGTGTGTGTGTGTGTATGTTTATATATATTAGGGTATTGGACCGAAAACATGTAAATTACTGGCGAGTGGCAAACACGTAATGAATGTATCAATGCAGTTTACAAGTGGAAACATCAATGCGTGTCGAATTTTTGCTGTAATAACCATTTATCTTCGGAGTATAGGCGTCCATGATTCCCAGCAAATTCTTTTTTCTTTATTTGTGAATTGCAAAAGTTTTCAGACGATGGCCTGATGTTTGCGTTCGTGCATGAACCAGACTGTCGCCACTCGATTTTGACATAAGCATCCACTTTTTTTTATTTTCATAAGCTCTCTTTGCTATTTGAGCACTTTTACTAATTGATATAGCAGACCATAAAACTATATTATATGTGTGTTTGTGTGTGTTTAAATTCGCGACAAATGCAGGTCAGCAGTTACACGGAAACGTTAAATATACAGAGACGCTGAACTTTTAATTTTTTTTAAGTTGGATAAATATTAATCTTAGCCTATTTTTTCCGTTTTATATTAACTTAATTAATATCTATTTTCTAAGGGAATTATTGATATGTTGTATGGTCCCGATCGTCATTGTATTGTAGAAGATTGTGAAATGAGTTTAATTTCAATATATTTTCCCCTTCATAAAATCCTTTCACTTTTAATGAATGACATATAAAACCGAAACTACAATTATTTCTACTCAATCGACTTTAGAATAATTTCAGATATAAACATTCTCGCCTACCTCAAAATCGCCAGGATATTACAACAAACTGGAAATACCTGATTTAACTACAAATAATAAACCTTGTGACCAGCATATATAAATAGTTGAGCTAGAACACAACACACTGAAAATTGCGTTCAAGCATGAAATAGACTGTCGTCACTCGGATTTGACGTCAGTGTCAAAATTTATATTTATATACGCTTTATCTATGATACTGAGCACTTTCAGCCATAAATATAGCATAAATATAGCATACCTCAAAACTATATTTTTAGCACACACGTACGAACACATGTACACACACACGCGCGCGCACACACACACACACACACACACGCACACACACATATATATATATAGAGAGAGAGATGTAGATATAGATAGATATATATAAGATAAAATGAGAAAGAGGGAGAGAGAGGGAGAGAAAAAGAGAGAGAGAATGTAGATTTATGTATTAAAGATGACTTCTGAAAACTATTTTCATAATTTTAATGAAGGATATCATTGTGTATGGAAAGCAAAAATAAATAAAAGGTGAAGAAAAAAACGATATATTTAAAAAAAAAAAATTCCGTATCATTCATTTCGATGAGGCGCCTTTGCTTTTGGGGATTAAGCAAATTGTTTTCGATCTTCATAAGTGACAACTCTCGCCTGCCCCCATGCTTACTTTCTGGTCGGGATCTTCTATTAGCCGATGCATAGGGGAAGCAACACGAACGGGCTGCTAGAATGCATGCGTGCGAATAGCAAGCAAAACACAGCTTCTTTTCTATCACACACGCATGCGCACATTCAAGCGCATACAAGCATGCGCAGACAAATACACGTGTGTGTGTGTGCGTGTTTAGGGGTCTCAACAAAAAGTAATGGTGACTTAGCTTGTGGATTTTAAATTTAGTGAACAGCAATATATATATATATATATATATATATATATATATATATATAAATTTATTTTAGCCAAATATTTTAACATATCTTCCTTGACAATGCTTTTTTATATATATATATATATATATATATATATATATATATATGTGTGTGTGTGTGTGTGTGCGTGTAAACTTTTAGTTATAACTAAAAATATATGGTCAATATCAATAACGACAAAAGGAAAACTTAGCAGATTTTGCAAATGTGCCTTGATAAAGTTCATTTGAGGACAAAACACGTCAGCAAAGTCAATTTTTCCGTTTGTTTTTTTTCAACCATGCGCGCACAAACTACACACAGACACACAGAATCATATATACATACATACATACATACATATATATATATATATATATATATATATATATATATATATATATATATATATATATATATATATATATATATATATATAAGATTTATTTTAAGTCTGGTATTTATATCATATATTAGAGTTGACACTTTTTATTTGAAATTTAATAAAGAAAAATGCGGCGGCTATTTTATATGAAGAAGTGTTTATTATAATAATGTTTGAAGTTATATATATATATATATATATATATATATATATATAACTTCAAATAATATTCAAATATTATATATATATATATATATGTGTGTGTGTGTGTGTGTGTGTGTGTGTGTGTGTGTGTTCGTGCGTATTTCAATAAGTTTGTAGTTTAATCATGAAAAAAAATTATATCATCTATCTTCGAAGTGTGTGTCCTCAAATCTATGATTTTTGGTTATGATGATTATGATGTCTCTTTTTCATATTCCAGTCGTAAATTTTAAGCCGAGACTTAAAGCATCCACCTCCGTCGTGAATAGTTTAATACTGGAGAGGGTGTGAACAAGTTTTGGATACTGATTATCTATCTATCTATCTATCTATCTATCTATCTATCTATCTATCTATCTATCTATTCTGATGAAAACTGCATTTATTTTTTGCAAGTAGCTATTTTGAACTTAATGTCTTTCTTGTGAATGCACTGTCTTGTGAATGTTTCTGCAATAATTACACAGCACATTGTACAAATGAAAATTTCAGATCAGAATACAAATATATATATATATATATGTATATATATATATATATATATATATATATATATATATATATATATATATTTATTTAATAGCGCTGTTATATTACATCGAGCACTGTTTTATTAGTACCAGCGCTATACGTGATATTATATATATATATATATATATATATATATATATATATATATATATATATATATATATATATATAATTACGGTGCATCAGTAAATAGTTATTAGAATTTTTATCTGAAATGTTCCCTGTATAATGTTCGATCAGAACAATTAATGGAGAAGTCATTGGGCTAAGTGCATTGGCAAGAAAAGAAGAATAATATATATATATATATATATATATATATATGAATAGCTTTATTTAGTCAGGCATAGGGGCTGAATGTAATGAAGCACTCAGGTAGTGTTGATCGAATATTTTAACCGAATAGTTTCAAGTTAAGCATTAATCGATGTCTGTTGCCCAGAATCGATTGATCTCTTCCTAAGTTTCTATTCCTTCATTCTCGACACTTTTTCCACTTTTATTTACTTATATTTTAAATATTTTCGTCTTCTTTAAAATGGTTAAAATAAGCGAAGAATCTTTCTTTGCAAATTGGGGAAAGATGTTTTTTAATAGCTTTTAGAACTAAACTCGAGATTTTGGCAAGAGCGTTTAGAAATAATATTCTACGTGGTTAATTAGTGTACATTTAGGATCAGAATTCCTGGCTGTGAAACAACCGAGAATATGTACTTTAATGTCAAATATAGATTAGAAAGTTCATTCCGTTTGTTTCATATTTTTAAACTAAAAAACCTTCATATATATTTTTGATCACAGGATGAATTCTGATCTCTTGACGCCAATTTTGAAAAAAAAAAAAAATGATTCGATTTTTTCTTATATTTAAATTAATAAATACATAAAAAAATTTACAATCAAAAATAGAACTGAATATGTTCACAGAATTTCTTGCGGTATTTAAATTCATTACTATAAGCATAGAGTGGGGGAAATTTTGCATTTTAGACAGACAAATCCCTATAGGAAAATGTATAAATTTATAATGCATGTGCCGAAGTCCCATTCGTCTAACACATGCATCTATATAGACATATAACACTTCTTCTTTCTCAGTGGCGTAACAGTAATCTAACTTGCATATTAGTACTACCGTAGTGAGTCCGATCTTTATTGCATGCCTTAAATATACGATATTAGTAAATCAGGATTATATGATATTTCTGAAATCCATTTTTAATCTTTGAATTTATACTGTTCATGATCATAGGTCAGATATTTTGTGCAAGACATGAACTGAGTCATCCCTCGTTCATTAATTCGATCGTTAGCCATGGGGAGAAAATTCAGTTATTGACAGAGTTCGAATATTCTTGGGGTTTTCAGAAATGTAATTACTGATATTAGATTTAGCGTGAATAGTTAATAAAAAACTTCCAATTCTACGAATGAAAACCTTGCAATGAAGGATTTTCTCTTTTAATGAGATGGGAACTGCGTATCTGATGTTTATTGAGATACAGGCTTACAGTCATATCAGATAATAATTGAGTTAATTCCTTTATTCAATACATTCATATACGCAGACACATTTAGCTTAAAAGATGTCTATGAGAGAATGAGTTTCTATGATTGGTTATGTTACAGAGTTTGGCACAAGGTTAAAAAATTCTTAGAAAAAATGACGAAGAACGAATTTCCAGTGAACACGATTTTCCCAAGTTCGAATTGGAAATATGTCGTAGCGTTGTGTCTCTGTTGTATGGCATAAGGTCATTGAGATCGAGTTGATGATTTTATTTTGAATAAATTGAGTAGTAGTCTTTTTCGAGAACTAAGAATCGTTTCTTTTAGTTTTTGTTCCTATCATGGTGCCATCGTGCGACGGAGACACATAACCACGAATAATCGATAATCGAACATACAAGGAAATAACAACATATCACCCCTCCCCCACTTCACGCTACTTGGAAATACGTCTGCCGATAGTTACATTCTTATGAACACACGCACACACACACGCACGCGCGCGCACACATACACACACACACACTCACTCGCTCGCGCACGCGCACACACACACACACACACACACACACACACACACACACACACACACACACACACACACACAGAGACGCGCGCGCGGTTATTCCTAAAGATAGAAAATCATAAGTTACTAGCTTTCTGCTGTGAATTCTGTAAGGCGCCATACACTCGCCCCGTTGCACGCATGCGCGCATGTACGTCGCTGAAGACAGTGCGCATGAGTATAAATATTTGTACGCCTTTCCCACGCCTCCGTATACGGAAGCTGATGAGAAAATAGAAGAAAACGTGTGTTTTGTGTAGACATGGCGACCACGTGGAAAGAAATAATGTCGGTAAAGCATGTAAAGATGAAACGTGGTGATTGTGGCTGTGAGGGGGGAAGAAACATTGAGTAAAGAGCAAAGGACGGGAGGCAGTGCGTTTGGTGTCGGTGCATTGGGACAGGGGGTGGGGAGAACAAAACGATAGGAAAGAATGGAGAAAAAAAGAACGTGAGATAAAGCAATAAAAATATGGAAGAATAAAATAAAAGAATTGATAAGGAGTAGATAGGAGAAACAACAACAACAACAATAATAATAATGATAATAGAGATATAGATTTAAGAATGAAGGAATAAATATGAAAATAAGGAGATCTGATGAAAGGAGATCGAAGATCGAAAACAGAAATGACAGTGAGGTAGATACGAGCAGATAGAATATCTGGATAACCAGATGATCTTTTTTTTTTCTGACTTAACTCATCACAGTTCAAACTTATTCAAACTAACAATGGTTTACCGATGGAGTCAGTCTTATAGATTTCGGGGGTGGCGAGAAATTAAACAAAATTTAACACTGAAAATATTAAAGATATACGGAGCGTCATTTTTAAATTTAATTTTTTAACCTCTCTGCCCTCTATATGTTTTTCCATTTTGGCATTCGATTACCAACTATATGTAATGATATATATATATATATATATATATATATATATAGAAGAGAGAGAGAGAGAGAGAGAGAGAGAGAGAGAGAGAGAAAGAGAGATTATTTACATTGTTCGTACTGTTGTCCTGAGATTTATTGTCATATTCACGACGTTTCGGTTATTGTACTCTACATCCTCTCTCCATCAGGTGATTGGAATTTCGAACTGAACCCTTTATTTCGTCCATTGTTCTACTTTCATATGCCTCTTCCAGATGTCTCAGTTATCTCCCTTTAAGTCAAATCTCCAAGTTTTTGTTAACCCCTGCAGTAGCTAGGTATTGAACTCATAACACTTTGTGTCACGTCACTGGATCAAACCAACAGTTTTATCCACTGAGACATCAGTGTATAATTTTTTTGGAAATATAAATTTTATGTACACAAATAACACACATCGAAATGGGATCAGACATATATCGACAGGACGAAGGCTTAGCAATGGGCTCGCCATTACCATCAGCAATGGCAAGCATATTCATGGAATACTTCGAAGAAATGGCATTAGAATCCACATCACTAAATTCAACCCTATGGCTGAGATACGTAGGTGACACCCTCATAATCTGGCCATACCAGGTTGTGGTCCAACTACCACTGAACCATGTGAACTCAAGAAGATCATCGATACTGTTCACAATGGAGAGAGCAAACGACAACAAACTCGCATTCCTGAATGTACTAATATCTCAAACAGAGCATAGGTTTAAACACCCGAATACCGCAAGCCAATATTCACCGGACAATACTTCAACTCTCTCCACTCAAACCATGTAAAGAAAGGGATCGCCCGGTGCTTACAACATCGAGCAAAAGTCATAAGTGGCAATCCAGAGACATATCAACAAGAAATGGTCAGTATAAGCAGTAACTTACAACAACTACCCTGGGTACATGGCAAAAGCTCCGACAAACTGGAATAGTGTTGTGGAGTGCTTACTACTTCTACTTATTATAGGTGGGAGAGTCTATTAACTATAGAATAGGTGTGCTCCACTATAACAGATAGAAGGGTACAAGAGGATAACAACACCCAGAAAATAGCTTCGGTCTGCCTACCCTATGTAAAGGGATTATCGGATAAAAAATACAAACGATCTGTGGTTCATATAACCTTAGGACAAACTTCAAAAGTGGTTCGACACTTCGCAGAGTAAGCCCACCCCCTCCATAAATGAGAACATGACTAATGATTAAGTGTACGTCATCCTGTGCAGCTGTTGTTAGAAATATAAAAGAGAAACATGCCAACATCTTAAGGTAAGACTGCAAGAACATCGTAAAGTTGTAACACGAGGGAAATTGAAAAATCAGAGGTAGATGAACATATATGGAGAGAAAAAGTAGATGACTGCTCCTTGTGGGATGAGGGTGAAATAAGAGATACAGAACATCACTGGAAAATACGAAAACTTAAGTAATCAGCACATATGCTACGCCACAAAAATCTCCTAAGTCGGCCAAGCATAGAAATGAATACAACATGGGAACCAGTAATACGGGGTGATAGAAAAAAAGCAATGACAAGAAAATTGTAATATTAGCACTGGTAAAAAAATGGTGTAGAGACATTGAGTTTATAAATCCCCAAAATTCATACACTGATGTCCTCAATGACATATGGCGTTGGTTGGTTCCAGTGACTTGACCCAAATAGTTGTGAGTTCAATATCTGGCTACTGCAGTGTTGAACAAATACGTGGAAGGTTGAATTAAAGGGAGTTAACTGAGATATCCAGAAGAGGCATGACACGTGGAACTAGAGCAATCTACTCCGGTGGACGAAATAAAGGATTCAGTTCAAAATTCTAATCACCTGATGGATGCCGGAGCGCACAACGGCCGAAACGTCGTGAATATGGCAATAAAGATGAGGGCAATATTCCGAACAATGTAAACAGTTTAAATAATCATAATGCCTCATCTCAGAAATATAAACACACACAGACACACACAAACACTTATATATATATATATATATATATATATATATATATATATATATATATATATATGTATATATATATCCGACAGTATGAAGATAAAAATATACGGAAAAAACAAACAAAAATCCTAATATGCAATTATGCTGTTTTAATGTTAATATAATGTCAACGTCGGACGTTTCAGTCTAGTAGACTATATTTAATTCAACATGAAAAGACGATGGACATAAGAATTAAATATAGTCTAATTTTAATTATGTTTTATGAATATGTCCTGAAGATGCTCTACTAGACCGAAACGTACGACGTTGACATTATATTAACATTAAAACAGCATAATTGCATATTTAGATTTTTGTTTGTTTTTTCCGTATATTTTTCTTCTTCATATATATATATATATATATATATATCAGAACAGAATTAGATAGACTAATGAAGAAATGTGTATTATAGCGAAGGAAACGAGAACTGAAAATTAAGAAACGAATTTAAACGAGACTAATAATAAAAAATAAATAAATAAGAAGTGACAATGGACAATGGTGGAATAAAGGACAGCCATGACAAAAAGAAAAAAGAGAATAAGTGTGAAAAACTTATACGATAAGTTAAAAATATGAATAAGAGAATGAAAATGGCATTGTAGGAAGAAGATGAGATGTAAAAAACATTAAAAGATATATGAGCAGAGTTTGTTACAGAGACATTTGATGCATAAAATCATACACTGAGAAAAAGAAACGAAAGACAACGGTTACATGTAAGAAGAAAGTGTTCTATTATTAGGAGAGAAAAGAAAGCAAAAAGAAAGAAAAACAGAAGTTTATATATATATATATATATATATATATATACAAATGGAGAGAAAAATAAAATCATTAAAAACGAGAGAGGTAGAAAGCAAGAAGCAAGGGAAAAAGTGTCAGTAGAAAAAGACGAATTTAAGATTGGCTTTTGCAATGAAAAGAACAAAAATGATGGAAATTGGGGG